TCAGGTGTTCTACACGAAAATGCACTGGGTGAAGTAGTATTGTGAGCGCAGGAAGGGATGATGAATACAATCTGCAGGGGACGCGCAATACGTTTTAAAATACCAAAAAGAAAGGATGCACATGCACGTTAAATTCAGAGCCCCTGTAGCTGCGGCGAAATGGATTGCCAAGCGAGCGAGGAGACTAGTCAAGTTATGCACCCACATCCACCAAACCAATGTACCATGAAAGACTACATGACGCACCCACATGCACGCCTGCGAACATGCAGTAGATGCCGTGGATCGAGCAAGTTCGCGCACAGAGCGAATTCGAACACCGACTGTTTTATGATGTTCACGTTCGGGAATTACAAATGGCTACTGAAAATAGTGTTTGGTAGGTTCTGTGCACAAATTATTGGGAGCCAAGGACGATGTTCGGTACAGCCGAATGTTCGGTATAGCGGTGTTTGGTATAGGGGAGTTCCACTGCAGGCATCTGCATTCAATGAGAAATCCTTGGCAGTTAAAATAATATCAGCTAAATGTCTTCAACACATCCAAACAGCAGTAGGCTCAGTTACCCCCCACCCCCCGTCCGCCAAAGTTTCTTTTTCATGATTCCTTGAATCGATGCACAGAGTTAGAAAAGAAAAACCAACAAAAATTTCCACAATTCTTTGATGAGCGTTTGGATTAAGCAACTTTCCCCTCTCATTTCTTTGTGTGCACTGTGCTTTCATGGCACTGATGCAATGATGTAATGTCAGAGAACATCCTATTGGTTACTGCTCAGTCATGCCAATGTTGCATACAGGGGTAAGCCTTTTGGGAGTTAAATTTGAATGAAAATCTGGTACACTGAGTTACCTGATTGCACATAAACGTAACAATCTGAATTCCCCAGACTAAATACATGTACTGTATGCATGCACTGTTGCTATACATGTACTGTACATGTACAGTACCTCGTGATTTGGGGCGAGCTTTTGCATAGCGACCACCATCTCAGGAATGGACTGGTTCCTTTGTGCCCTTCTTATCCTCTGAAAACAGTGTATTGGTTCAAGGCATCTCTTATGTAACCAAGCAAACGCTTGCCCTGAATCACAAGGTATAGCCACAGTGTCTTTAGTATGGAGAATTCAAACTTTTTTGTTCATGTGAATTTTAAAGAACTCAGTGTACCAGTGTAAAAATTTAACATGTGTAACAGGGAAAAATGGCACACCTTAGGGAATTCGCAAATAACAAAAACTCTAACTAAACCAAGGATCTTTGAAGGAAAAGTCGCAGGAAACTGAATTAATAAGGACTCAGACACCAATAGTTGACTTCAAAAAAGGGACCAAAAAATACATACATTATTAATGAAAAAGTACAGGAAAAATGCAAGAAAAAATAATCGGACTCAAGGACTAAAAAAACACCCAAAGACTAAGACTTTAAAAGACTCAAAACCCAAACCCAACACAGTGCGT